CTTCAGTCTGTATGTCGAGTTCCTTCTCTGGATTTTCATGATTTTCATTTAATCGAGTTGGCTGCTTATTTGGAATTACTGCATCTTCTTCTTGTTCTTGAGGACGTACTAGACCAATTTCAAAGTCATAGTCCTCATGTTCCTGTGTACATGGAAGTGGATTAGTTTCATCAAATATAACATGCACACTTTCCTCAACACACATAGTGCGTTTATTGTAAACTCTATACGCTTTACTGTTAGTAGCATATCCGAGAAATACGGCTTCATCACTTCTTTCATCGAATTTCCCTATGTTCCTTTTACCATTATTATGCACAAAACATTTACAACCAAATGCTCTCAGATGAGATATATTCGGTTTTCTGCCTTTCATAAGTTCATAGGGTGTCTTATTTAATATAGGCCTTAGCATGACACGATTTATAATATAACAGGCTGTATTCACGGCTTCTGCCCAGAAGTTCCTTGGAAGATCGCTGGCTATTAACATGGTTCGAGCCATGTCTTCTAAGGTTCTGTTCTTCCTTTCCACAACTCCATTTTGCTGTGGAGTTCTTGGAGCTGAGAAATTATGACTTAAGCCTTGTTCCCTGCATAAATCATCAAATTTAAAATTCTCAAATTCAGTGCCATGATCAGATCTAAGGTGTATCAGTTGATGTCCGGTGGACTTTTGAATTCTCCTGAAAAATGTGACAAACTCATCAAAAGTCTCATCTTTGCTAGACATAAAAATTACCCATGTGAATCTAGAATAATCATCAACAATTACTAAGACATACTTCTTTCCACTTCTACTTTGAATCCTCATAGGACCACACAAATCCATATGAATTAACTCTAAAGGTTTCGTGGAACTCACCATTTTCTTGGATTTAAAGGATGATCTGACCTGTTTTCCTTTCACACAAGCATCACAAATTTTGTCACATAGGAACTTGATTGAAGGAAGTCCCTCTACCAAGTTCCTTGTTCTTAATTTATCAATCAAAGAGAAACTTGCATGACCAAAACGTTTATGCCACAGTAAAGGATCATCCTCAATGACACTGAGGCAAGTTAAGTTGTTCCTCGGAACTGTATTGAGATCCACTGTATAAGTGTTCCCTTTCCGAGTTCCTTCCAGCAAAACTTTCCCAGTGTCATTCTGAATGATGCTACATTTTTCAGAATCAAAACTTACTGAGTTTCCTTTATCACAAAATTGTGATATGCTTAATAAGCTGTGTTTGAGGCCCTCGACTAAAAAAACGTTATCAATAGCTTGGGAACTTGACCTTCCAACTTTTCCTACGGCAACAATGCTGCCTTTCTTATTATCACCAAAGGTCACAATTCCTCCTGTATAGGCCGTCAGTGAGAGAAATCTTGATTCATCTCCTGTCATGTGCTTGGAACAACCACTATCGAGGTACCATTGGTTGTTCCCCCTCACTACGACCTGCAAAAGAAACTAAGGGTTAGATTCAGGAACCCCATCTTTCATGGGTTCCTTCGTTGATACAGCAGACTCATTTTTCTTTTGCCATACATAAACTATATTTTTAGTGGACTTAAGTTCCTTTCTTTTGCATTCAGTATCTTTGTGTCCTGACTTGCCACAGAAGGAACACACAGTCTCACTAGGAAGTTCCACATAGTTTTTCTTTTTACTACTACTCTTCTTTTTGTGGTTGAAATCCAAACCTTCTGTCCTTCTGGTTTGAGCTTCAAGTATCCACTTTGGAACTCCCATGTGGATTACACTCTCATTGTTTCTTGCTCTTTCTAGATCCTTTTCAAGGAACTCATTTTTGTCTTTAGTAACCTGCAATTCTTTTTTCAAATTTTCAAGATCATCATTAAAGGTTACTAAAGGCAATTGAAGAGCATTATTAGAATCAATGTTAGTGCATAGCAATTTATACTGAGTCAATTCAACATTTAATATGATATTTTCATTTTTGACTCTTTCCAGTGTTTCTTTAAGCATAGTATTTCTATCTAGCAAATCAAAGAATCTTCCCTGAACATCTGTTCTTGAACTATTCAAATATTTCATATGATCCTTATAGATTTCTAGAGCTTTTTCATTTTGTCCAAGTTTAAGACATATTTCTTTATATTCATCCAATGTTTCTATGAGCAAAGAAATTAATTTGTCTTTTGACAGGGATTTCAGAAATTTAGGTTCGAGATTTACCTCCTTTGACCTTTCACTGTGTTTAGCCATCAAACACAGGTTTGCAGTTTCTTCTTCCGTGGATTCTTCTTCATCCTCAGAACTTGTGTCTCCCCACGCAGCTATCATGGCTTTCCTGTAATCAGATTTTGAAAAGTTAGGAGTATTAGATTTTCCGTGTTCCTTCATTTTGCCTTTTCCTTTTTCTGATTCCCAGAGAGGGCATTCCTTGATGAAGTGATCTGTGTTCCCACATTTGTGGCAACCTCCTGTTTCCTTGGAGTATTGGTTCTTCTTGAAGTTCCTTTTCTTTTGGTCACCAAACCTTTTGTTGCGGTACAGCTTTTTTAACTTCCTGACTAGCATGGCAGCTTCTTCCACTCCAGATTCGGAATCCTCATCACTTGGTTGGGCAACTTTTAAAGCGATTCCTCGGCTTTTTGAGCTTTCTTGACTTTTGTTTGATAGGTGAAGCTCATGAGTTATCAAGGAACCTGCAAGTTGTTCAAGGTTAAAGGTTGTAAAGTCCTTTGATTCCTGCAAAGCAGCCACTTTGGCTCTCCACCGTTCATCTTCAGGAAGGCTTCTTAGAATTTTGCGTACCTGTTCATCCATAGGAACAACTCTACCAAGAGAAACTAATTCATTAGTAATATTTTTAAAACGAGTAAACATTTCTTGAATAGTTTCTTTTGAACCCATTTCAAAACGTTCATATTTAGAAAGCAGTATATCAATTTTAGAACGTTTGACTTCATGAGTTCCTTCGTGGGTTATTTCTAGTAAATCCCATATTTCTTTTGCTGTTTTACATCCCATAACACGAGTGTGTTCATCTGGCCCTAAACCCCAAACTAGGAGTTTTTTAGCAGTAGCATTAATCTCTTTCTTCTCAAAGTCATTTCTATCATATTCAGAGATAGGTTTAGGAATTACCTCATTTTCTGCATTGGTCTTGGTTACCTCGTAATCTCCTACTTCGATAGCTCGCCAGACTTGATAATTCTCGGACTGTATGAACATCTCCATCCTTGTCTTCCAATAGGCATAGTACTTCCCATTGAAGAGTGGTGGTCTTTGTGTAGAGTAACCTTCAGCTAGTCTCTCGTCCTTTGACATTGTTCCTCCAGGAACTTGACTCGACAGGGCTTCCTGCTTTTCCGAGTTCCTTGCTCTGATACCAACTGATAGAACAATGTATACTACAAGAGGGGGGGGTGAATTGTAGTGTATGTAGACTATGGTAAATTTTGCGGAATTAAATCTACTACTAAGAGAAAAGACACTGAGATAGGCAATGAATAAATTCACTATGTAAAAATGATTTACAATCACTAATACGTTGCCTAGACTCAAGTTCCGTGAGGAACTCAAGTTACCCAACTGTGATCCCTCAATCACAGTTTCTCACACTTTGTGATTCTACTCCGAATCACTTGTACAGTGTAAACAACTCTCTCAAATCTCACACTTTACAACTCTCACAACCCAAACCCAATTACACAATGATTACAAGTATTTTCTAAAGAACTTAAGAGACTAAGGATGGAAGGAACTTCTCTTTTAAACACTTTGAAACTCTATGCTCAGAATACTTAAGATTGTTTTTCCACACTTTCAAAACTTAACGTTGATCTGTTTTTATAGGGAGATTATCCAAGCTTCCATCATGTTCCTACTTCCCCCTCAATCCCACGTTTACCTATACTGGGAAGTTGGGATGTAAGTGGAGGAAGTTGAGAACCATGATTTCACTAACTTGACTCCCAAATCCAACGTGCATCCTGTTTTTAAGCAAACAGAATTTTACCAAGTCAAAAATCAGTTTAAAAGAACATTTATTAAAAAGATAAATATTTATTTATTAAAAAGATATTTAAACAATTAATTAATTTAAAATAAATTTATCTTTTAAATTAAAGAATTATTTAGATTTTATTTATTTATAAAATAAATCTTTTCAACTGATTTTATCCCAATATTTTCAAACTGATTTTATCTCTTCCTTAAATTAAGGATTTTGAAAACTGTTAAAAACTTTTCTGAGTCATCCGTCAATCGTCAAGTTCCTTCAGGAACTTCAAGTTCCTTCAGGAACTTCATGTTTCTTCTTAGTTCCTTCCAACACTTTTGTTTCTTAAGTTCATACACTGAGTAACTAAGTATATAGAGATATGAGGACATCTTGAAAGCTTGCATTCATCATCAAGTCTTCCAAACTTTGTTGTTCCTACTCCGGAACATATTACTTCAAACCTGAATCTTCTGCTTAACCAAGACTCTTTTAAACATCATTAGTCGGAGTTTGTTTTACGTAAGTCAATCATCAAAATATAAGGTAGTCAATTCAACAAAGGTTTCAAACTCATCCATGTTCAACTGAGAACAAGATACAAGTCATACAAGGGTAAGACAGGTTTGATGGAGCTTTTCATTTGGAATGAAGATGACGTTTGGTGTAAGCATAATCTCACAACGTGTGAGATTATTTATGGATTGTTTTAGTTTACAACACACAGGTCTCCATAATTCATGCCAATCACAGCATAACAATAGCCAAAATAACAAACTAGAGAAACTAAATTGTACCTTATATTTTCCAAGAAAGCTGTGACGCTTTCCGGTTATCATCATGTCTACATCTCGATCTAAGGTGAGTTTTACATGACGGTTTAGCAGATAACATGGAACAGAAGCTGCTGCAGCAATGAAAGCTGCTCTAGTCTCCTTACCACCAAATCCACCACCAATTCTCTTGGTTTTGCAAACTACTTTTGACATAGGAAGACCAAGTACCTGACTAACATACTTTTGGTGCTTCTGAAGTGCCTGCAGAGTGATTGATTTTATGAGAATTGATTAACAAAAAAATAAAAAAGGAAAACTTACAGGCAGAAGACATCTAAAACTAAAATTAACAATGCCGTCAATGGTGATACATACCTGAGTGGATGAGATCATATGGACCTCATTACCACTGTCCATGGTCCACACTAAACTGCTCATTGATTCCAAGTAGAAATGTTCCTGACCACCTACTTGTACTTCTCCTTCTATGATACTGTCACACTCACCTGACTGAAAGCAAAGATCAACATCGCCTTTCTTGAATCTTCTCTCTGAGCCAGGATGAAAGCTTTTAGATTTAAGTGCATCCTCTATAGATAAAATAGGAGGAAGTTCTTCGTACTCTACATGCACGCTTCTCGCAGCCAGATTTGCATTTTCATGGGTATCAGCAACTACTATGCCAATCACCTGTAAATTCACAGACATTAGTTCAAAAGCTGCCAGGATAAGGTTCAAACAAGGTACCTAATTCTATTAGGCACCAATAGAATGAACTCAAAAGCTCTGTATCATAGTAATATACCTGACCCACACAAGTTACCAATTCTGAAGCAAAGAGCTCCTCGTCAGAAACAATGGGTCCAATAGAATTATCCCCAGGGATATCTTTAGCATAAAAAATGCCTGCAAAGCCAGGTGAGGACTTTGCGCCGAAATCATCAATTGAGACTATGCGGGCATGAGGCTTTCTACTCAGGATCAATGCAGCATCTAAGCCATTAGGTGGCATTGCCATATCATCAGCATATTCTGCCTCACCTGTGACCTATAAAGAGTGACAGAATAATATAGTAAGAGCACTTAAAAAACTATGTAAAATCTAGCTCTATGAACAAGATTGAAAATATAAGAATAATCATTCAAAATTATCAGGTAATTCACATCTATAATTGTACTTCAGATTACATTAATGACGCCAACTTCAGCTTGTAACATTATAATGATCAATCATAAGTAGAAATGTTTTAGTGAATAAACCACAGCCCCGCTCCTTAAACCCCCTTTCCACACACACACACACACACACACAAACACTAACCACCATAATATAAAGTTTTAAAGCGAAATAAAATTTCTGTGTGAAAAGGGATATTCCTGAGATTATTGTCACAGACCTGAAGTGTTGCAGATAGATGCATCTCTGGAGATCCTACAGCTATCCCATGTTTGACAATCTCATGGTCCTGAATCCCAGTTACAGGTGGCCTATGGTATGGTTGTATCGCTGACAGATATGATGGGGATACACTCTCTGTCAAAGGTGTATTTACATCTAATTCTCGAGATACCCACAAAAAATATTTGAAGAAAAAACTTAATGTCAAAGATTTTCTGAACTCCACCATCCCACCTGGTGCATCTTCCTTAAGTAATATGTCCTCCTCCAAGACTTTTAAGGCCCCATCTAGCAACTCCTTGTTCCAACTCTTTCCTATGAGAAAATCTTTTGTTTTTGACGCAAAAAAAGAAACAGCAGCAACCCCTCCATAGACAATTGATGCATCTGAAACAAGCCATTCTTCGTCCTTTTTCTGAAGGTGAACACGCATCCCGGCATTTACTAATGCAATATCATCATCTTTACGATGAGCTTGCTTAAACTCTTTCACAAACTCATAAGGCCTTGTCCATGGTAAATGAATTGATAGTAAAATCTCATCACTTAACAAATCAATCTTACGATACCCCAAGAAAAAGTTCTCTGCCAAAATTGTTCTGATGTTTCCCTTGCTATTAATAATGTGAAACTTTGCTCCGGTAGCCATCCAAAGAGGATTCAAGTCTGATATCGGACTAGCTGTGCAGATATTTCCACCAACAGAGGCAACATTTCTAATCTGAGTTCCAGCAAACCATTTTATTTGCTCAATAAAAGCATTACAAGATGAAGTTTCATGAGCAGCACGCTGTACAGAAACTCTTCTAAGAACAGATAGAAGCTCAGACAGTTTCACAGCAGCCCCTATCTCCAATCCGCTGTCTTTCACATGTAAAATGTTTAACTCAGGCACCTGTGCAACTGATACAAGAACTTTATACTGCATTCTCTTCCGCCTCATTTCAATTCCAACCTCAGTGTTACCATTTATCAACCTTGCCTCTGGATATTTGGCTTTTAACTCTAGAACATGTTGAAGTGACACAGGTCTACACCACTTAAGCCCACCAAAACCACTCAAGTTAAAAAAGGCAGACCTCCTTAGCAATAGCTCAGGAGGAAAAATAAGCTCTCTATCATTGTATTTGCTACCATCAATATCACTATAAGAAAGTCGTTTGTAACTTTTATTGCAAGCCCCGCTTTCTTTCATATTATCAGAGTTGCAATCAGACTTCAGTCCACAAGAGCAGGGATTACCGGTCGATGGACATATGAACTCATTGCCTTTACGACCTTCCAAGGTAGCATTGGTGTATATCATGTCATCGGTTTTAGCGAAAACTCTGAAGGCATCAACAATTGGCCTATAACCTGTGCAACGGCACAAGTTCCCTGCCAAACATTCTTCTATTTGCTGCTCAGTTGGAGGAGTTTGACAGGATCTTAGTAAAGCATACATGGACATAACAAATCCAGGAGTACAAAATCCACACTGGGTGCCATGTGACCTTGCCAACGATTCCTGCAAAGATAACTTATAGTAAATAACAGAAAGGTTACAAAACAGTTCCAGTTTTCACTAAAATTTGTCAGGAAAGTGCTATCCTGTTGTCAGAGGAATTTGAGATAATCAAAAGCCAAAATGAAAAAGAAAACGGTGCTGCATCTGCAGTTCTTCACCAAAGTGCTATCCTGTTGTCAGAGGAATTTGAGATAATCAAAACCCGAAAAAAAAAATGAAAAAGAAAACCAAATTTTATAGACTCGGGTGGAGTCTATTTGTAACATGGAAGAGGATCTGAAGTTAAGAATTGCTAAGTCCTTTAATTTTAACTTTTAAGCATCCTTTCCTCAAGTTTGTTCAATGAAGAGCCCGTAAAACATTTCAACATCTGAAAAGCTCTTGTGTGTACTTATAATGATATATGAAGTATGATCCTCTTTCGATGAAATCAAATAGAAAGGGAAGAATTGAACCTGTACTGGATGCAAGCCAAGTTTACGACTTCCGATGCCTTCCACTGTGATTACATGCATTCCTTCTACAGAGTACAGCGGCGCCAAACATGCATTAACTGCATGGTGCCTGGTAGAGGAAGGAAAAAAATATGAAATTAAAGCAATCTCTTTAATATGGTTTGGTTTGTCATCCATTAAAGACGCAATAGTAAAATAAAAGTGCTCAACCAACATGGATTCATGTTCTAATCCTGCTAGAACAAAGTGCAGTTAACAGAAGTAACTACAATCCAAATGGTGTAAAAATTAAGCAGAAAAATGGACAAGACGAGTTTCTACGGATGAAACTATGCCATCCTTCTAAAGTTCTAAGGTAATTCTTGACGGTAGAAAAAGTAGTATACAGTCATCATTGCAATAACAGTGACAGAAGCAGCACCTGACTAATTACTTTGTACTTCATGAGTCACAATTATCACTGCATCAATTGATACATTTACAAATACTTCGATTCATCTTTGTGATTCATTATATTTGGAGGTTAATCATAGGCTATACTGCATAACATATTTTTTGAAGAAATCAGGCGTTCAGATGATATTAAAGTATCAAGATGCATTATGCCAATATTAACAGATTGCTACTGCAATAACATGATGGGCTATCAGTCACAACTGATTTCGTAGTGCTAGTTAACACACATAGTCCAAACTGCTTTCCGCACTGATAGAGTATAAAAACATATTCCTGGGCCTCAACCATAAGCTTAAGCTTTTGGTTGAGTTGGTCCTTTAACACGGTATCAGAGCCAGCGTGACATAAAGGTCACGGGTTCGAATCTCATCCACCCCTCTTTTAAAAGTGGAATTAAAGTATAAAAACATAAGCTTTTGGTTGAGTTGGTCCTTTAACACGCACAACAGTTAGTTGAAAAACTTTACAGAACTTTGTATGACAGAAGGCTTTAATATGACACAATGCTCCCTACATTCATTCATAGCCAACAAAAATAACAGCTGCTTTTCACACCATGCTATTAGTTTTCCATTTTATTATAATTCAGTAAATTTATTTGAATAGCTGTTTGAAAGGAAAAAACAAGGTAGGACCACTAGACTATCAAACGCTCCAAGCAAAGAACCTCCCAACTCTTCTAAGCAATACCCAACTTATAGGTGGCGACAGTAACCATTTTAGTTTCTTATAATTAATTTTAATTAATGAGCATAAATCAAGCCAAACAGGAGCAAACAAGCAGATAATTTAGTTAAACAGAGACTCACACACATTTCTTGTGCTGCTGATCATAGTAGGAAACCATAAATGTACAAGCACCACATCCTCCTTCACCACATCCTAATTTTGTCCCAGTTAGACCAAGATCTGCATCCAAAAGCATAGATCACATCATCATTTAACAAACTAATCAAATAGCAACATGAATATAATGTTATACCAGATTGTTCCTCTTTCTAAGCATGATGCCAGTTGCATTCTCAATGCATCAAACTATGCATAACAAGTTATAATTTTATTTATTTATTTTTTTTTTTATTTTTTTTTTTATATATATATATTTTTGTTTTCTTCATTGGACATTAATTTTGGATTGTAGGGAGTAGGGGACTATCATTAAGCTAAATCATTTCTCAACAACAAAGCATAGTAACAACAGAATAAGTCATGATCACAAACTTGCAAAATACAGAAATTAATACATACTTGAACTCAAAAAGTAAATTTAAGATTACAAATTTAAAACAATAATGAAATTTTAATTAGTTTAGTATTATACCTCAGAGATACTCAAGAAGAGTCAAGTGAGCTAAACCATCAGAAAGAACTTTCCGAACACCATTGATGTAAACAATAGCTTCATATGATTCTTTTTCTTCGGTTACTCCAACCTTTTCTTCACTCATCAAAGATCCCATTTTTCCCCCCGAAAATCACTGAAAATTTCTACTGTTAGATTATTCAATTATCCATAATTCAGAAAGAAATAAACAAATAGTATAGTTTAATTAATCAAAGAGCATCATCTACCTGATAGAGTTAGGGAAAGAAAAAAAAAAGTTCTAAAGCTTAATTATATTGATGTGATTCCATGAGTATATGTAGTACATGAGTAAGCAATATAATACGACTGGATACATTAGATTACTTGTCTAGGTACATTAGATAAGAATAAAGGATATCTTTGACTATCAACTTATACAGTGAATCAAGTGATTGGTAACTATAACCAATATCAGTAAATATGATTTGATCAAATCCTTTACACTACCCAACATTCAGCCCATCTTTCATGGAGGCAACACTCACCCATTCCCGATACCACCAACATTCACCCAGAAAAATTCACCTCCATGAATCCCAACACTATTTAACCAAAAAAAAAAAAAAAAAAAAAAAACTTCTTCTCACCAATTAACAACGGCTTTATTTACTCAAATTTGACCATTAAAACCTCCACATTAACTTTATTGGTGATGAAACACAGAAATAAGGAATTTGACCGTTAAAACCTCAACCTTAACTGTTTGGGTCCAATTTAGTCAAAATTGGGCCGGAGCACTAAATGATCCAATTAAAAGCCCAAGGTCAAGGTTCAACTCTCCAATTGCTCAAAAGTCAAAAGTCAGCCCACAAAGTAAGCCAATTGGGCTAAAGCCCAACCTCTCCAAGTATGATGAGGTATAAAAGCCCTCATATTAACAAGATCAGACACATACATCGTCACTTACATTATCTCATACACCGATTATTGCAATTCATATGCTCATTCTTGCATTGAGGAATACTCCACAAAAGCCTCAAGCTACAAACTCTCTTGCATAGTGTCTTCCTTTTTACACATTGTACTGACTTTAGCATCGGAGGGGCCTTCCTCGGAAACACCCCCGAGGCTAGTTTACGTGTGTTCACTGTGCAGGAAACCTTCGGCCCAACACAGCTTGGATCGAATCCAGTCTTCTCCATTTTAGTGGACCTTCGGCAAGGTCCATTTGTTTTCAACCGAAACAATTTGGCGCCGTCTGTGGGGAAGACTTTCAAAAATCTTTAAGCCAAATTCCTAACCAAGATCATCTTGCAATTATCTTAGCAGCCATGGCTAAGAACCGCAAGAGCAAAAGCCTCCGTCAAGGAGCGGGCGAAAAGCCTAAAACCCCTACACCATCGCCCTCGCCGGACCGGAACTCTCCCAAGGGTGCCGGCTCGGGGGGAGGATCACACAAGGAGGATTCCCTGTCTCTTATAATGCATGACTCCCAATATAGGCCGGACCACTCTCGGTCTAGCAGGGGTCAGTCTGATCATAGGACATATTCGGTGTCCCGAAGCCAACCATCGGCTGCACGGCCTCATGCCCACACTCGGCCGGGGACCCCTTTGACGGGGCCCAGTTCGGAAGAGGTGGCAAGAGCGCTGGCAGTACTCATGGAGGCAATGAGGGCACAGAATATGCCACCGCCTCGTGATCGAACTCCTCCGCATACCCGGCATCAGCGGAGGAAGTTAGACCATGACGGTGGGAAGCTTCCTTCCTTCCGGGAACTGGAAGAGTGGGAGGAGGATTCTTGGAAAAATGAAAAACAGAGGAAGAAGAACTCTCAATTATTTAAAGGATCCTCATCCTCAAGACCAGCAGCGCATAAGAGCAGCAGCTCAGCTTCTCGGCCAGAATCTACTCGCCGGGAACCTGAGACTGCTCGCAGAAGCGTCCTTGACCGACTCGGCGGCCAGGAACCGAGCGTGCGTAGTCGCCTCACGTTCCCTGCAGCCGAGGCCCAGACTTCCCAGCCAGGGACGAAAACCACTCCTACCTCTCTAAGAGGGCGGAGCGCGGTCCCTTCGGCCAGGAACAAGGGCAAGGCCATTATGCTTCCCGCTAGTTCACCATTCGAGCAATGGATACTGGAAGAGCGCGTACCCACGGTTAAAATACCGTCGCATATCACATATGACGGGACCACGGATCCGAAGGACCACGTGGCCTCGTATGAGACTCATATGCATCTTTGCCCCAGATCCGAGGCGACTTGGTGCAAATATTTCCCAACCACTCTCAAGGGGGTCGCGCAAGCGTGGATCTCCAAGGGAGTAAGGCAAGGCTCCATAACAGGTTGGGATGATCTGTCCTCCAAGTTCAGGAGCAAGTTTTCCACGGCAAACCGCCGAGAGAAGACTACCGCAGAGCTCATGGGTCTGCAACAGGGGGAAACTGAAAGCCTCCGAGACTACCTGACCCGTTTCAGTAACGAGTCATCAAGCGTCTCCCAGCTGGACCAGGGGTTAGCTGTTTTTGCAATGCAGAATGGCCTTCAGCCAGGAAAGTTCCTAGACTTCATGGTCATGCATACCCCGCAGACCTTGGAGGAAGCTCTTAGTGCTTCGGATAAGTTCATCCGAGCCGAAGAATGGAATAAGGCAAAAACCCAACCTCAATCCGGGGGAGGGAAACAGAGGCAAATACCCTTGTCTGAAGGCCAAGGCCATAAGGCAAAGGGAAAATCAAAGGTTCCGGAGCCATCTTCGGCCAGCGACCTAAAGAAGGACAGGTTTGCCTCATACACAGGCAGATACGAGTCCTACACTCCGCTCTCTCTTCCACGCGCCAAAATTTACAGTGTGACGAAGGAGGAGCAGAGTTACCGAAAGCCGAGACCACTCCCAGAGTGGTATCAGCGAAAAAATAAAAATCAGTGGTGTGAGTTCCACGAGTCTTCGGGCCACAACACTGAAGAGTGTATCCAGCTGAAGGACCAGATAGAAGACATGGTCCGGAAGGGATACTTGAAAAAATACATCGCGGATCACCGCGAGAAAAAAGAATCCGAAAGGTTAGCAAAGGACCCTCGGCAGGACCTTGATTTCCCTCGGAAAAACAGTAAAAAACCGGAGGGGAAATTCCCTCCGATCAATGTTATCTCGGGAGGAATATACTCTCGGAGGGAGCACAAGCGTCACCTTAGAGCTTTGACTCACCAGGTGAACAACGCTGACATTCAATCTCCCCAGTCGCCGGTGCCGAACATGACGTTCACAGCCGCCGACTGCCGGGGGATTACGTTCCCTCACGAGGATCCGTTGGTGATCATCGCCACGGTGGCCAACCACGACGTCAGTAAGGTCCTTGTTGACGGTGGCAGCGGAGCAAACATTCTGTTCCGAAAAGCCTACAACCAAATTAAGCTGAAGCCCAAGCACCTTACGCCGGTACCCTATCCGGTATCCGGGTTCAATGGGGCTTCAACTTATCCAGATGGGAAGGTGACACTTCCTGTCACCATCGGTTGCGATGAGGCAGCCCGGAACGTCATGATTGAGTTTTTGGTCATCGACGCTCCTTCAGTGTACAACGTGATTTTGGGGAGACCCATAATTCACGAGATCCAAGGGGTCGTCTCAACTTATCATCAGCTGATGATTTATGTCTCAGACGCCGACTTCCCCGAAAGGATACAGGGCAACCAGAAGGACGCCCGAAGGTGCAACTACCTCAAGCCATCCAGTAGTCGCCCAGATAACGACAAGGATGAGGAGGAGAAAGAAAAAGAAAGAGAGCCAAGCACAAAAAAGCCGAAAGGCCTAAGTGCTTCGGCCCAAGGATCAGTGCCCAGAGAAAAAGGTCCCGAAAGGGAAAAGGTTGACTCTTCATCTGAGCCGAAAGACTCAGAGAGCCAGCCGAAGAACACAAAGACTGGGACACCTGCTGACATTGGCAGCAGACCAGATTCTGAAGAGTCCAGTCCATCAGCAATGGACATGGACCAACAGACTGAAACAGCAGAGTTGGCCGAAGGAGATGCTGAGAAATGTGTAACAATCGGGATGGACCTTGATCCTAACACCCGTTGTGAACTTATTCAGCTCCTGCGGGATAACAGAGATGTGTTTGCTTTCTCGGCAGCTGATATGCCCGGGATAAGTTAAGACCTCATCTCCCATAACCGAAGGGTCCATGCAAGGCCTCTCAAAATTGGGGATCTTGTCCTTCGGAATGCTGCTGCAGTTCAGAAAGGCCGAATCCATGGGAAGCTCTCAGCTACATGGGAGGGACCTTATGAAATTTATGATGAGCTTCAGCCAGGGACATACCGACTTCGGCAGTTGGATGGAACTGAGTTGAAGAATCACTGGAATGCTGATGTACTGAAAAAATACCATGTGTAAACCCTTCGGGGCAGAACAATCTTTGTAAGTACATTTTGAACTAATGACAGGCCTTGGAGCCGCCATTTATATAAAATTTACAACTGTTTATCCTTTCAAAATTTTCTTTGTTCTATCTACTCTTTGAGGGTTTTTTATTCAGCCTCGTCTGAAGCCTTCGCCTTCGGGTAACTGGGTTTCAGATTGCTGACAAAACCTGTCTTTTTAAAGAACACCGGTCTTTCAGCTGAAGTCAAACTTCAGTAAGACTTGTTCTCCAAAGACATGAGTCCATGGACAATTCTGGGATATTGCCTTAACTGAGCCTTGTATCCCAGAGAGCCATTATCCGAAACATTGCCTTAAGTTGGCCCTGTGTTTCGGGTATCCATTTTTCAAAGATAGCCAGAAAATCAAGGATAACAGCAACAGTTGAAAATTTTTAAATCAGCCTCGTCTGAAACCTTCGCCTTCGGGTAACTGGGTTTCAGATGGCTTACAAAACTCAGTCTTTTTAAAGAACACTGGTCTTTCAGCTGAAGTCAAACTTCAGTAAGACTTGTTCTCCAAAGACATGAGTCCATGGACAATTCTGGGATATTGCCTTAACTGAGCCTTGTATCCCAGAGAGCCATTATCCGAAACATTGCCTTAAGTTGGCCCTGTGTTTCGGGTATCCATTTTTCAAAGATAGACAGAAAATCAAGGATAACAGCCTTTTTAAATCAGCCTCGTCTGAAACCTTCGCCTTCGGGTAACTGGGTTTCAGATGGCTTACAAAACTCAGTCTTTTTAAAGAACACTGGTCTTTCAGCTGAAATCAAACATCAGTAAGACCTGTTCTCCAAAGACATGAGTCCATGGACAATCCTGGGATATTGCCTTAACTGAGCCTTGTATCCCAGAGAGCCATTATCCGAAACATTGCCTTAAGTTGGCCCTGTGTTTCGGATATGCGTCTTCTTTAAGAACGCTGGTCTTTCAGCTGAAGTCAAATTTCAGTAAGACTTGTTCTAAAGAGGTTAGTCCCAGAAAGCTAATATCCCAAGCATTGCCTTCAGTTGGCCCTGTGTTTCGGATATCCAACTTTCAGACAGTCAATCTTCAGTAAGACTTGTATCCCAGAAGCATTGCCTTCAGTTGGCCCTGTGTTTCGGATATCCATTTTGAAGAAGTTCAGAAATTGCTTATTCAACTAAAGTCATACTTCAATTTCTGTGGGGGCAAGAAGCATGCAGTGCAGCTATGTTCGGCAGAGTTGAAGAAAAGAAACAGTAAAGCATTCAAAAATAAAGCAACTGAAGAAAAAAAAAAAAATTTGAGCTACAAGTTCAATAATTCAGTATCGGCAGCCGCCCACAAGCGGAAAATAACAGCT